GCAGAGGAACAACAATACATTGATCCAGTTTTCAAAATAAGTAAAGGTCCACATTCATACCTAGTTTAAACAAGTATAGTTCTAAAATTTGAGGAGTCATGCCTTCTGAGTCTGTCCTGGGACTGGCTCAATATTCTCCCTTTGTTTATTGTGATATTCATAAATAATTCTTCTAGCAGAAAGTTCTAGGTGTTTGAAAAATAATATAACATGAAGTATAATCTTTTTTAATGATGGTGTGAATTAAAGCCTTAATCAGTAGCAACTACTGAATTGCAATTAATAATTCTATGAGAGGTTTTTTGTTCTATGCCCTTTAGTGTTGTCTATGCAGCTGTTAAATATTAGTGAAGTCTTAAAATGAAACAAGATTGTTGTATAGAAGCTTTTAGAGATATGAAAACATCTGAGAATTTGCCTAAATAAAATTTTCGTTGCTTGTTCCATGGCTTAATTAAATATTTTGTTTTTCACTTTTATAAATAAAATCTTTAAATATAAGCTCTTCTAAACTCCAAATTTTACTCATGACCTTTTCAGTGGCATTACTTTCTTGTTCCTTTAGAAGTATGGCTACTAATTCTGTTTTCCCAGGTTTCCATTTCATTGTTATTACCTCAGAAAATTTGTATGTTCCTGTTAATCAGAGTATTTCTCAAAGTAGTGCATTTATTGATAACATTTCTGGTTCATCATGTTTTTGAGGGATTTTTTTGTTTGTTTGTGGTGGGGGTAAGATGTAGTCATCTCACATCAACTTTTTTTTGTTCTGATTAGCTAAAGTTTGGAGAGTTTAGATTAGGGGAAAATGGCCAGCCTGATCTAACCTAGTTCATGTAAGGAGGTACATTACATATATTGGGCTAACTGTACCCCATCTAAACGAACATGTGTACAGATTCAGGGTGCAGCTCCCAGGGCTGGAAAAACTTGGCCAGCCTCAATACATTAATTTTGTAAAGAAGGAAAAAAAACAGGACATAAGGATTTAACTCAGAATCAACATATTCTTCCAGAGATTACTTCAAATTCACATTTTGTTGTTCATTTTATAGTTGTTCTGGAGAGGCCACTTTTCATTGTAAGGCATGCACAAGTAGAGAGATATTGAACATATAGATATTCAAATACAGTGTATTTCCAAATTCAGCATCTGAAGCCAAATTAGTGGATCATTTTAAAAGATATGTTTGTCTCCCGCATTATGGGTTGTTGTTGTTGTTATTGTTGTTCAATACCTTTTGGATCTTCAGTTCTACGGCTGCCTTGAGTGAAAAGTAAAATCATCTATATATAATAAATCCTTCTCATTTTGTTCTTTGAAACCAGTTATCATTTAAATACAGAGCCCTTGCTTTCCTGTAGGGGGAAAAAAGATTTATGGTATTAGCTACATGAGTAACAGCAGAATTCTGGGCTCCAATTTTCTAAGCTCAAATTTAAATAGTTCTGAAGAAAATATTACAATAGGAGAAGGATATTTTAATATGAGTTTTTTTCTTTCCCTGCAGCAAGAGTATTTCACTGTTCCTCTGTTCAAAAATCCTTTTGAGGCATTAGGTTTTTTTTTTTTATCTCTGTTTAGAAAAAGGGTTGGGGGGAGCAAATTTTTAGCATCTCTCACACTAGTGTGCTCTTACACATATAAAAACACACTGTGAGAATCTTTCTCTTGGTTTTCTTCCCTTCTCCTTCCCTAGGTTTCTCTCTTCAAAGTTATCACTTCCACTTACCAGAGTTTGCGTGTGCGCGCATGCATGTTACTCAAATTGCCAATTGCTCAAATCATGAGCGAGACTTTGTGAAGGGGGATAAGGCAAGGTGCCACGTTTATTGATCACATAAGTTAGACACAGAGGTTTGGGCACACCATTCATACAAACTAACAGAAATCATCATACACATCATTAACACAGGCATACACATACACAAAACAACCATTTCATCCACACATACACCAGATAGTTACCAGCAACAGTTGCTCAATATCAGCCCAGTGTGTCTAGCCCAGGCTTATTGAGTAGATGATGATGATCTGAAGATTTAAAGATAACAGCTGGAGCAGGGTGGACAGATGCATCTGTGCTCCGATGAAACAGCAGTAGAGAAAAAGACTCACCCAACTTGGCATTTTCAAAGTGTTCTTTTATACAGATTGGCATCCTTTGTTTCAGTGCTTTGGGGTTTTTCCATACCCAGCTTCTGTTTTTGCGGTTGTTCTTTTTGAAGACAAAGAAGTTTTGTCTTCAGCTTATTTTAGCTTTGGAGTGTTTTTGCTGCTCATCTGGCAGGATGGGTGCATTACTTCTCCTCATTATCTTCTTTGTGCCCTAGGCCTAAAAGGGATTCTTCAGCCATCCATTAATTAGTTTACTGACTGGTAACTTACATTTGGTGCCTTGTTGCTTACATAAACAGTTAAATCTTCTTTTCCCATCTCTATGCCATTCTCTTACCATTGACCCTTTTACACACACTCATACATAAAAGCTATGCAGAGTTTGTTCACCTATGTCAAGCAGAAGGAGACAAAATGGAGTTTTCAAGTTGCTTACAGGATAAGACTAACATAGTTTTATTGCACTATTATTACACTCTATTTTAACATCAGCTACATTAGTTCAGTTCATGCTACATGCGCAAAAGCATGTGCCTAAAACTAAGTGCTCAACTTCTTGCAGATTCCACCAAGTGGGCATATCCTCTGCTTCACCAACTGCAAGATAAGCTTAACTCTTAAGTGATTCTATTACCTGACCCCCATAGCAAAAGAGTACATTAGATGCATTCTTTTTTTCCTCGCCATTAGGGAATGATAACTTAGTGGCATATTAGAAAAGCCCTTTTCCTCCTAAATGGTGAATGGGCTATAAACTGGACTCAGTCTGGATTTTTGCAACATAGAAGCTGTTAAGCAAAGTACAGGTTTCTCTTGCTTTATGCTGTACATGTATTCCTGGAAAACAGCGCATAACTTGAATTTGCATAAAGGAAACCACTTTACAATGTAACGTATAGGGATACGTTCCAAGACCTCGACTCTACTGACCCCCAAACCCATTTCTACCACTTTTACCAGACAATTTTGATATTCACCAACAGCAGACAGTGTACACACAAGCACTGGGTGGTGGTGAACGTTACCATAATGGGGATGGCAACTACAGAAACACACGTTGTAAGCAGTGAGTGAGGAGCACAGATCCACACAGGTGACTGTATTTTGCTGTGCATCACTCCCACAATGTACCACAGAAAGCAGCTGACTGTGAGCTTCCATCACACCAATCACATAAGAGCGAATTTACCTCACATATAACAAATTTTTGGTATTAAAAAGGTCATCGCAAAGGAGTGAATTCGCACATACAGAACCCACATAAAGTGAAGGAAACCTGTATAATTTCCTAAGAGTACTGAAATAATTAGGAATTTTGTATGTTCAGCACCTGCATGAAAACAAACCATTTTATTTATGAGCTTAACTATAGGTACCTAGATTGGAAGAAGCTGAACTTTCATGTGTTGGAATAAGCAATCTGTTTTTGGTGTGTGCTAGCAGAATGAATTCATGTTTGAATGATGCCACTTTAATGACTGTAAGGTTCTTATCCCGTCATTGCATCTGTAATTACATATTGATTCTAATTTCAATGCACATTTCGACTTTAGCATTTATCATGTAACTAATATGACAACATAAAATGTCATCTATATAATTTAAGCAAAGTTATTACAAAGTTAGAGAATGCTGATGAGAGACAAAATGCAGTATGAAGTCTTCCACTCCTAATTGTTTTAAACTTTTCATTTTCAATTTTTGGAGGGTCATATCAACATATTTGCATGCAAATAACTTTTATTAATTTCATGCTCAAAATTGTATCCATTACAAAAATGATAAACAATAGAAATTGTAGTGCTGTATAACATTAAAGATAAGAACTCTGGCATTTTGAGTAACATTTATAAACAGATGTTCCCATCACTAGTATATCAGCATGTCTCTAGAATTGCACATCTAAAAGGCCATACAACTTTGTGCTGTAGCTGTAGTTATGGTAGACACACAGAAATATCCACATGCTAAGTCCCTCTTATTAATTTGAGTGGTTTGATGTAAATCTTTGGAAAATCAGTATTTCCTTAAATCAGTAGATTCTGTAATAATTTAAGCAGTTTAGAAGCCTTTCATGGATGGTGTTTAAATCTTTTGTTGTCAGTGTTGTTGCATAACTGAAATTCTAATCAGACAGTTCAGTAGATTAATATAGTGGCATTCTTTGCTCAGAGAATCTCAACTGGAAAAGAAGGCTCCTCCCCCACTTCCAAATGTCATGAGAGAGTTGACAATAATAATCATATATGTAACCTGGTACCATCTCTCATACTGTTGCTCCCTCTGAGATGTTATTTTAACCAGAAGTTAAATTACATGAGTTCTTATTAAACTGTGTAAACATAAGTTGTGGAACAGGCCCTACATGAAAATGCTAATTCTCATATTATCCAACAGCAGTCTTTATCACTGATCACGTATTACACAATATATATAGACCTCTTACAAATTAAATATATGGAAAGTGCTAATCTTTCATCAGTACCACATATAAATACTGAATATAGTTTTAGTAGCCTTGTGATGAGGGTATTTAAAGAATGTCAAAAAAATTACTGAAAGTCTGAGGGGGGTGGGTTTATACAGGGAAAAGTAAGTTTATAAGACTATACAGAGTGTGTTTTTGAGACATACAGTTTCATCTGCTGTTGAAGTCTAGTCCATTAGACATAATTTCACTGACACAGTTTTCAGATTTCTGTTCTTTATCAACACGGCACTTACAAACTATGTGATTCTTCTGTAGTAATCTTACTAATAATTTAATAACATTTCTGCTCTGACTTTCAAGAAAAAGAAATCTCCCAACTCTCTATTAAGATTGTAAATATGTTAATGTGTGATTCCTGTTTTTTTTCAAAAAAAATTATTTTCTTTTCAGTGGGATGCAATTACTGAAATGGATGAGCACAACCGTCCCATTCACACTTACCAGGTATGTAATGTAATGGAACCAAACCAAAACAACTGGCTTCGTACAAACTGGATCTCCCGTGATGCAGCACAGAAAATTTATGTCGAAATGAAGTTTACTTTGAGGGACTGCAACAGCATTCCATGGGTATTGGGAACTTGCAAGGAAACTTTTAACCTCTACTACATGGAGTCAGATGAGTCCCATGGAGTGAAATTCAAGCCAAGCCAGTACACAAAAATTGATACTATTGCAGCTGATGAGAGTTTTACCCAAATGGACTTGGGTGACCGCATCCTTAAACTCAACACAGAAGTTCGTGAGGTTGGGCCAATAAACAGGAAAGGATTTTACCTTGCTTTTCAGGACATTGGAGCATGCATTGCTCTGGTCTCAGTCCGTGTTTATTACAAAAAGTGTCCTTTCACAGTTCGTAACTTGGCTATGTTTCCTGATACTATTCCAAGGGTTGATTCTTCCTCTTTGGTGGAAGTACGGGGTTCCTGTGTGAAGAGTGCTGAAGAACGGGATACTCCAAAACTCTACTGTGGAGCAGATGGGGATTGGCTTGTGCCTCTTGGACGATGTATCTGCAGTGTAGGATATGAGGAAGTTGATGGTTCCTGCCATGGTAAGGTAACAGAATTAACAGGAAAAAAATGTCAAGTTACTTACATTGCAAGTAATTTATTTGTCTGTGGAAAGTACATCCTACAAATTTTCAAGGAAATGAACAAAATGTATGTTTTAAGTTATGATGCCATTGGTTTAGAAGAAAAAATAGTTCTAAGAAACACCACCTTAATCAGCTCTATCCATGCAGAATATGGAATTCCTCTTATTGTGGTGTAATGTTATTAAATTGTGCCATATATTCAGTCCTGGTGTTTCACAATAAATCAGGTATGCAATTTTGCACTAAATCAGTTTGTTTAAGGAACAAATATCAGTCCCCTGTTTTGGCTTTGAAAAATGCAGTGTAATTAGCTGCTGAACTCCCAGCACTATTTAATAGACGGATTACTTTGCAAACTTGTATGAATATCACTGGGTGCTTGCTATATATGGGACAGGTATAATATTGAGCCTTGCTAAAGTAGGGAAGATGATGAATGGTATCTTAACAACTTTTTGAAGATTACTTCATTTCTTGCTTATAACTGATATTCAGAGGTAGAACTGTGAACACAGATGCAGGAACAGAAAAAGTATGTTTTATTGAGATAATTTAGTGTATTTAGAAGGCAGATAGAGATGTAATTTAAACTAATTGAATCAAAGGTGCATAATCTGTCATGAGTAAAAGCACACTTCATCCCATGCTATGGTAATATTATTTGCATTGGACTCATCAAAGAGGTCACATCACTGGAATTTAATTATGGCTGAACTTAATTAGCTAGAACCTCAGCTTCGATATTGTTTGGTACATGAGCAAATAGGTAAGCTGATGAGATTCTTGTAACCTTGGTACTAATCTTTGGTAAGGCTTTGAATTCATGTGGAGTAGTGACATGCCCTTCCTAAAACTCAAAAATGTGTTCATGTCATCCTGGTGCATTTCAGCCTTGTGCGTGGACTGACAGATTGATCTCAGTATCTGTCAGAGACGTCTGCTGTAAGCAATGCATCTTACAGCACTCACGATACTAAGCTGTCATTTTTATCAACAGGAAGGTTCATAGCAATGATGGTTGCCCATCCATCTACTACAAGACACACAAGACATCCTGAACAGTATTAGTGTCTATCAACTAGGTCTTTTTGGCTAAATTTTTCCTGTGCAATTGCCCTCATATCTGCAGACTCTGTGCCTGCAATACTGAAATTTCATCCAGTCTCTAGAAGTGCCATTTATTTACACTAGTGAAATCAAGCATTTGTATTTATTCATACACAGAATATCCAGAAAGTTAACATGGTAGTCAGCTTCAGAGGTAGTCAGATAGTACAAGAGTGTCTTTTGCTAAGGCTGTCTTCTTTCTCTAATAGCTTAACAGTAACTTGTGAACATTGTAGCTCTTTTCTTTGGTAGTGGTTTGTAAAATGAAACATCATGTAAAACCACTTGCCCTCACATGAAATCAGGTTTGTACTGAGGAGAGAGAAGAACAACCAAGGAGTTCATAACTTGTTCATAGCTTGTACAATGGCTTTGCCTAGGCCAGAATATTTTATGTAGCTGGTACTCAATTCTGTGATAGGTAGCAGTACAGAAACTTTAGATAGAAAAAATAGTATGTAGACCACAAACATAAGCAATGGTGCATGGAAAATATTATCCATGTATTACTATCAGAAAATGGAGCTGACTCTCTCCACTGTTTTCCGGATGACACCATTTATCGTCTTCTAAAATGTATTCATCACCAGAGTACCATTTTGGCAACATTATGGGTGGAAATGGCTATATCAAGGTATTTTTTTCACATGGGATTTCATTTTATCTGTAATGGAGTTAGCTATTAATCATGTGGAATGAACAAAAAGCATTCATCATTTGTCAATTTGTCCCTCCTATGAGCAGCGACATAAAGGGCAGATGTTATATCCTGTGTAGTAGTGTCAGAAGTGGCAGTTAGGCTTGCAGTAAAAACTGTCAATCTCCGCTCATGTTGTCCCTCTACATTGGAGCCTATCATCCCAGGGCTAGTAATTTTACTACATGTAAGTTATGCTGTAGAACTCTAAGCAAATGCTCTGAACCCTAAATCTAAAAAGAGTTCTTTTACTGGTCAAAAAAAAATTGGTCTATTGACTGGTCAAATATTGTCAGATAATGGTCAACTATTGTAAACATTTATTAATTAGAACAGTGAAGAGAGTCTTTAATCTTCAGTCTAATTATATGTTAATTACAAAAAAAGTCTATTTAACCGTTATTGTGAAACATCAAATTCAATTCCAAAACATTGTAATTATTTTTTATTACAATCTGTGTTAAGTAGGAGTAAAAGTCAATGATATTCAAGACTGAACAGTTCTTCTTTTCCTTGGCTTTTGTCCCAAAGCCCGGGTCAGGGTCAGCCTGAAAGGTTACAAAATGTAAAAGAAAAAAAGAAGAAAGAAATGAAACACACCTAAAACTGTGATTTTTACCTTTGTATAGCTATTAAAATGCAGGCATGCTAAGCAGATAGCAAGCCAACGCTTTCAACCATTTTCTGCTTGCTTTTAGAGATGCCTGCACTCACCGCAGGTGACAAGTAGGAGAAGCTTTTCTATGCTGCTGGTTTTGGTTCTTCTCTCAGCACCATTCCTGTAGCCTCACAGGGCTTAATGGTGGGAATGGAAAGGAGGCTGGGAAAGCTCAGGAAGGGCAAGGTGTGCCTGTTCCTGAGAGAGGGTATTCTTAGCTTTGTGGAATATTTGACTGGTCAATTGACTGGCTTGGCATCCCTATTATGAACCTTCCTGTTGTATGATGATCACAGCTCTTCATTCATTAAGAGGATTAAGTCTGCTGCTGAATAAGTATCTCCCAGCTGGAAGCCTATAAGAAAACCTATGGTACGTTAGTTAGAGTATTTTTGTTAATTGCCCAGAGAATGGTAGATAAATGTTTAAACAGGTCATGTTGTAAAATAACTTGTCTTAGTAAATTCTTCTTTTTAGCTTGTTCAGAGTTGTTTTCAAAGGTGCCTACTTCCGCTCAAGTTCTCTATTTGCAGTGTATTTTTAAGGTTGATGTTGCTCCGGCTAACTTTGTATTTCTTGTAATACATGAGAGTTTTTTGTTTCAGTGTGTAAATGTTATCTTAAAGGATGGTTCCAGGTTCTAGCCCTTAGAAGCAGCAGTTTCATACCCACCAGATATTTTAAAAAATGAATAGTAACCATTAAATTGCATGTGTACTGACCCATATTCTCCCATGTGTCTGTTTAAATGCTGATGTTGGGAACTCATTGTAAGGGTCATGGAAGGATCTAGGATTTTGGAAAAGGGGGTGCAGATGGTGTGATACTTCACCACATATATCACAACACACACTTTTCTCTAGGTAAAATAACCAACAAACAAGAACATTTATTAATATGCTAGGGTCTATGTCTATATTGTTCAATATTTAAGATCAAAGCAAACATGAATATAATATAACTATTGGAATGTGCACTAATTTGGTAGATTTTATATACATACACACTAAATTTGTAAGTTAGGTAAAAACAGTAATAAGACATTGTTTTATTAGTCCAGTAGTAATTATAGTTACATGTGCATCTGTTGTTCAGATTTATAAAATGAAATCTAGCCCCCTTGAGCATCTTGACATTGCATCTAACACTTTCACTGTCAATCATTCCCACACCTGAGTTAATGTTCATCTAAATTAATATTACCAAACCTGAGTTAAGGTTTTTAGCTAGGACTAAAATCAGGCTGCAGGGCTGTGAAATGGGGGAGACAGAGATTACCAGGAATGGCTAACAGAAACAGAAACTGCAGAAGAAAGGTAGCTTGATAAATAGAACATCAAGACAATTAAAAAGAAGAAAGGGTCATTAGCCCCTGAGGTTAGCTGGAATCAGGTATGTTATAATGAAAAGAGCCAGGAAGTCAAGAAGTCAACTGACTCCTCGGGCACTGGCTGTGAATACCTTTCCCCTGGTCTTTTTGCCCTCCCCACAGGCAATTGGTTTTAAAATTTAGGTGGAACAGGAATCATAGTGGGGTGCAACTGCACCTCCCTCCCCTTGGAACTGACTCCAGCATGGAATCTATACTTCCTAAAGCTGCCAGTAGAGATCTGTTTTTATGCCAGTTGTGACTATAGTTTTTTTTTTAAATGTGAATACTTTTCATTGTCAACTGAATTAGTCACAATCTGGTTTGGTATAGATTCCCCCTAAAATCATGAGACAGTCTGTTTGAGGCACTGCTAGTTGAGGTATGTTTTTTTTCCCCCAACAGCAACCTTTTGAGCTTCCCATACAAATGAAGACTTAACTTGATTATTATTATGTGATAAGAAATGAACACAACATTTGAAACTTCCCACTTATTCTATAATCTGCTGTCTCAAAGGAAGCCCAAAACTAGACCAGTTTCTTTTTCTTGTGCTCAGAATGACCCTAGAAGGCATATGAGCCTTACTAATTTCAGATCCTGCCAAAATCATTTTCTTTTTGTTCCCAAGCAACATCTTTAACATTTTCAAAGTTGCACCCCATCATATTGTATACAATATTCTTAGCTTTTAAAATATTTGGTGCTGTACTGTTGATTCCCCTGATAGGGTACCCAGTAACACAGTGAGTCTACGGAAGAAGACAGATAAGGCAATTTTAATTGGTTACCTCACCCAAACTGGAGGTGATTAGTGTCTCTTTTTTCCTATCATAGATAAAGTGAATGTCACACTTCTAAAAATAATTAGTGTTCTCGCTGTTGAACTGTCCACTAGGTAGCAAAGGCAATTTGGGAAAGAGATGATGTTAATACATTATGTCTCCATTTATTTTTCTGTACTGGATTTTTGTGTACACATAGGCAAGGGTTGAGTAATGTCCCCCACTCATGTGTCAGTGATGAGTAATAAGCCTTTCACAGACCATCTTATAACTACCAAACATTCACTTATGGAATATTTCTGCAGAAATGATGCCACCATCACCATGACAGGCTGGAAA